CTAGCATGGAATGGAACTTGGGCTTAGACCCAAGCCGCACGTAGAACAAGGACAGGCACGCAAGCGGGAGCTAGACTATACCTCAGGTTGGTCGGCTATACCTGACCTACCCACTATCCCTACTATACATTTGGAACCCCCCACAGCCCCCCCCCCCCCCCCCCCCCTTGAGGAACACACGCTTTGGGCTTTCACCCCAAGCCTCCCTTAGTATCAGGAGTTAGTCTCTGGGACAAGCTCGAAACTTACTAAATATGGAATGTCCCTAGATTGTGAATTTGGACATGGGACGAATACCATTGTGTTCAGACCGATCTCTACATTCCGTAGATATGCCAAATGAGCAAATCTGGACACTTTCCATAAATAGCATTTAGGACCGAAATGAGACTAACACAAAGGGCATGATAGCAAGGGTGTTTGGCAGACACGGTAAGCTATCATATAACGATATTGAGGGACCAATCTCAATACGCGAGGGTTCTTGTCAAGCCAGTGCAAGACAGAGCAAAAGAGAACTAAAAAGCCAGGCCAAGTATGCTTGGCTGAATAGACACTAAGGAATTCCGTCCTTATGCTCATCCGGCCAAGTACAGATGCAAAGTCCAGTTTACTAACACTTGAACAAGAGGGGCTGATAAAGGGTCCAGCAATACCGACCTCCTGCCATCGTGGCAGTAAGGTAAGAGTGTCCATAAGGACTAGTTGATAGGTAACTTTCGATACCCGAAGTCACATTCACGACACTTGGTTAAGGTGACTAAATGGGAAGAACACTTAAGGGAAATAAACCGTGACAATCCGATGGCATAGTGAGTGCGAAGAAAGTAGTCTCAATAAAAGACCTATGGGAGGGTCACAAAGTTGGGCCGTGGATAGATCCCACAGTAGAAAATGCTAAAGAGACGTACTAGGGGTGAACACCCTCTAGACTTGGCAAATTAAAGTCTTTGCCATTGAACCAAAAGAATACCTCAAGGATGGAGGTAGTGAATCTATGTTGCTCCATACAACAATTAATGGATAAGAGCAAGAGACTAGTGTTAGGGTGTGGCCACCAAGAGAGTCACAGAGAGAGAGGGAATATTCTGGTCCTCAAAATATTCCCCATCTTCCTTGTATAAAACCCTTGCCCCACAAGGGCAAGAGGGGGGAGGGGCATTTTGTGAAGGGTAGTGAAGCATTTTTTGTGTTTGAGCGAGTGTTGGGGGAAGTGCCCCTCCTTCCCCCAACAAATGGTGAACCCGGCGTGACGTGCAACACTTTCTAAAGCATCATTTCTCTCTTTTCTTTTGGCCGCAGACTTTGGGAAGGAATTCCTTGTTCGTCTTGCTGTGGTTTTCTTTGATCTTGGGCGTGTTGGATAGGTCTGGAGCTCCTCTTTCCAACAAAGTATGGCACTTATCAAGCCGTGCAGTATTTGAAGAGATACAACATTTCTTGGCTCGATTGGATGAGCATTTTGGGGTTTTCACTTTCTCGCTTGGATCCTCGGCTGAATTTTTCTAGGTAGTGCATTTGGGCTTGTAAATCTGGCCTAGATCTATTAGTAGTGGTGGTTCTTGGCACTAGATTTGGGCGAATTGATGGCATGCAAAAGGATTTTCTTCTCCGGCTAAGTTGGGTCATCTTTGTAGTAGGAATTTGTGCTCTTCCAGGCTTTGTTTTGGATGCCGTTTGTTTCTAAAGGTGCTCTTGGTCCTAGGCTTTCCAGAAATACCAATGGCGCCTCAGTATCGATGTACATCATAAACATGCACATGTTTTTCCACAATATTGGTGTTCTGGCTACCTCTTCATGGATTTCAGGGAATATTGAGGTGGCTTCTTCTCATATTCCTACAATAGAGGGTAGACGGGGCTGATCTCTTTCCAACAAGCCCACCAACAGTCAAAATAGGGAAGGATCAAGACCAAAGGACTCATTTTTCTCTTTTGGGTTAAACTTTGTTGGGGGTTCCTTGGGAATGAAGCAATCTTCAAGGAACAGGTAGCCGTAGGAACAGGAACAGGAGGAGCAGGAACAAGAGTTGGCATAGGAACAGGGACAATAAGAACGGGTACAGGGATAGGAGTTGGTGTTGGAGCAGGCGTAGGAGTAGGAGCGAGAGCGGGGGTTACCAGTTACAGGTCACAGGTCCCGGTTATTTGTCCTCGGTTACCAGTTACTGGCTACTCCAGTGGCTACTTTGGTGATTATCCCACGGGTCAATGGTTATGTGTGCTTGAGGCCTACATCTCCGTTTTCACCTTTATTCCTCTTCGTCACAGGCATTTTGGGCAACTTTGAGCAACTTGAGCACTAGCCTACAGTCTTCTTGCTCCTGTCAACCCAGTTGCCTTGACCGGGCATTTGCAATGTTTAGGGTACTTGATGCGGGTACAAACTAGACATACGACAAACTGGCACCCTTTTACCATACCTCGAGGCCCTAAGGTACGAAGTAAATTTTCTAACATCCAAAGGCAGCTTAGATACGACACTGCACCTTCTCGGGCTGAGCCCTCTTCATCCTTGGCAGATTCCAGTGACTTAGATCTACGAGCTATCGCACAACCACCCTTAGCTCGACCTCAGCTCCATGTTCTGCAGAAGGGGAGTGATCTGCCAACCTTCTTAGGTGTTGGAACAGTCTCTCCAACATTGCATATTAGTCGCTTTGATTACTACTGCACCACAAACATGATTGTCGATGATGATCGTATGTGCCATGACTTCTTGCAATCTCTTGAATGCAAAGCAACAACTTGGGTAGATTCTCTCCTCCCAGAGGACTAGACAAACTTCCAGACACTACTTGCTTCTTTCAGAGAATGCTTTGTTGAGGAAAAACCCACAAATTAGCTACTTGTCGACCTCTTTTCGTTCCAGCAGGGTGCTCACGAGTCTGTTCCTGACAACATCACATGGTTTCGAACTTACTGCAAGTAGTGTTGGGATTGCAGAGTAGTCCAAGATGAGCAACAGGGGATCATGGCATTCATAGCAGGTCTACGTGGGAACGTGCAGCGGAAACTTCTTAAGAAGACATTCAGGTTTTGCCGTGAGGCATTTTCGTTTGCCACGAAGCTAGAAAGAGAGCTTCTGGTCAACCTGGGGATTACTAGAGTTGATTTTGACCAAGCCATCATCTCGTTAGAGTCACCTTGTACATTCATCTGTCCATACCAAAGCCCGTCACTATTGAGCATACACCTCCGGCTCTTGAGAACTTTGCCAATGAGATGTGGCAGCTGAAGGAGATCATTCTTCAGTAGCAATCACACCATGACAAACTGCTCCAGGAGCTGGTGGAGTCTAGGAAAGAGGCCGCTACAGCTCGGGAACGTAGATTTAAATCCTGCTAGTGCACTTACTGCGAGATGAACACACACAACACATAGCGCTGCTTCAAGCTTCACCCAGAGCTTCGGCCTCCATCTTCTCAACGTGTCCAACAACATCCCTTCACTAATAATTCCATATCATCTCGGGGTCTAGAGATGTATCAGGAGCAGTTGGAACGACAAGCAATTGAGGCAGCCCTTGGTCAAGCAAAGGCAAGGCACCAGCCTCATCAGTCAACACAATTTTGGTAGCCGAGGAACTCTATAGGCAATAGCAGCAAACCACAACCACTCGAGCCCAAGCAAAGAAGAAGGCAGCCGCTCAGCTTGCCACAAATCCCCCGCCGCCAGTTGAGAGCGAATCTCCGTTGGCATCAGGCCCAGTGACACAGAGGGTGGCTTGTAAGCTCCCCTTCAAGTCACTACTCTCTCCTCCTTTTGAGATCTCACCAACAGCTATTCCTGTTCTGGAACTAGTTCTTCAATAGTTGGTTGACACTACTGTCACCTTTTCGCTCCAAGACATATTGTGTCTTGTCCTGGGATTCAGCTAGCATTTAGAGGAGTTTGCACGGTCAGGAACACTAGAGAGCACTCTCAAGAGGACTCCTCAAGAGGTGCACATTGTCGATATGACAAGATATGGTGGAGATCCTGGTTCGTTCTTCGTCCTAGTGCAGATCGGTACTTCCTCTTATAGGATGGATGCTTTGGTTGACTCCGGTTCTGGAAGCAACATTATCTCTCTCGAGGCTGCCCTTTCAGCACAGCTACAAATCACTGAGAGCTCCTCCATCGTGCTCAAAACCTTCACCAACCATAACGTTCCTCTAGCAGGAATTTGCTGTGGTGTCAAAATCTCTGTGTAGGGTGTTATTTCTAAGGTGGATTTCGTCGTGGTTGACTACAAATGTCTTGGAATGTCCTCTTTGAAGGACTCTATCATCCTTGGCCGTTCATGGCAAGTCACATCCCATTGCACCATTGACAGCACACAAGGCAAGATGGAAATTAGCGATGGAACCCACAGTGCCACCTTTCTCAACAACCACGGCAGAGCTCTTTCTTAGCAAGCCTAGCAAGCTCTGACTAAAATGGCCTCCACACCATACTTTCCTCCTGAGCTCACAGAGGTTTTTCCTAAGTTGGCGGTGGTGTCGACCATCTATATGATGGATGCTTTCTCATGCAATGTGATTGACATGGTTGGAGGTGAGTTAGGCAGCCCGAGACATCTCTCAACATCACTCTCTTTATTTAAGAGTAAGGCCAAGCCTCTAGACAGGCCCTCTTTATTTGATGACGGGGCTTATAAAGTATGGGCTCCCATATCCAGCTTTTTGGAGCGTTTCTTGATAAAGGAAGGGCTCCTCGATTTGTTTCTTGCATGGGACCAACTCTCTCTTATGGAGCTTGATGACACAGTCACTCCAGACCAGGTCCATCTTTCGCAGGACACAGCCGAACTCAATCCTTCTCAGCAACTATCTAAGGTGTCACACAGCCAACATCTTCCTACTAAAATCGTGGTAGCTGATGACTCTGAGTGTATTCTGTCATGCCATTTCTTGGAGATGGAGGATAACATCCAGACATAGAACTGGTAGAAAGAATCAAGCCAATCGAACATGCTGCATGCGAGTTATAGTTCTTTGAGTTTAGAATTTCCTACCATGGAGCCCCTAGTACTCCAACCACCAGAACAACTTCCTTTCAAAATTTACATCACGACGGGCACGGAGGCTTTTGGACTATACCTTTTCCAATGTTCACAGCTTGGCAAGCCACTACATGCAACATATTATGCCTCACATTCGTTCGAGGAGATTGGAAAGAAGTACGTGGATGCAGAAAAAGAAGCAATGGCTGTTGTTTATACCTTGGAGCGATTTTGTCACTTTCTTGCTGGAGCCTGTATCCATTCCCATGTTTGTTTTATTGTGCTGACTTTTCTTTTACAGCGACTAGTTCACAGTCCTCGTACTTTATCTTGGATTGTGACCATTCAAGAGTTCCAGCCAACTTTTCACATGCGGCGGAAGTGTGTGATGCATCTTCTCCAACAGCTACAGGTCAAGCATGTGAAGAGCAGCAGCTATTCTCCTGAGTGCAATGGCCAGGCGGAATCCAGTAACAAGATATTGAAGACAGTCATCTCAAAGCTTGTGGAGAATCACCCAAGGCGTTGGCACGAACACTTAGTTATGGCATGGTGGGCCTTTTAGACATCCTTCAAGACATCCATCTCTGCGACCCCATTCTCCCTTGTCTATGGGACAGAGGCCATGCTTCCAATAGAGATCTAGCTTAGTGATGAAGACAAGCTTCATGTATGTGACTTGGAGGTTCTTGCCTTGGAAGAACAATGACGATCCACATCAAAACATCTCCTTCGAGGCAAGCAAAAGATCAAGTCAGTCATTGATCACTAGCAGTCTGCCGAACCATTCGAGGATGGCAATCTTGTTCTACTCAAGGAGTTTACTCCACCTTCGAAGTTCTCCCCTCGCTGGACCGGCACCTACTTTGTCCAGCGATACATCGGAGGTGGAGCATATGTGCTAGTTGATGCTGATGGATGGGAGCTCCCACACGCTCACAACCACTCTCATCTCAAACACTTCATTTAGTAAGGCGTTCCTTTTTTCTTCTTTTTCTTTTTCTTTTTCTTCCTTTCTTTCACTTTACTTTCATGGCTATTTTTCTTACTTTCAGAGGGTGTTTCTCCATTGGACCGTGGCTTATGCTTTGGATTTTGCCCTCAAGCTGCATTGCCATTTGTATGGAGGTTCCTCACTTGGCTCAATCTATGTTCCAGGTTCTTTGGCCCTTCCCTTACCATTACTACACCCCACACATTCCTCTCACTCATTCCATATCATCTACACTCACAGTTCCATCACCAATCACTTCCAGCAGTGTTGCCCACACTTATCTCTAGATTCCCGTCTTGCATCTTTCATTCTTTCACCATCATTCACATCTCTGCATGAGGTCACATTTACACTATACCACAGACACACATACATGCACTAGCAGCAAAAGACACCACCTCATTTGGACGTGCCGTTTGTGAGATATCCTTATGACCATTTGCTGACGATGCACTAGCTTTTTTGGAGCGACTTTCTTCCAACCAGGTGAACCTGTTCACTCAAGGCACCTAGGTGGATCTTTAGGCGAAGCTATAGAAGCCAAAGCCACTTTCTTCTGCTCTAGCACTTAGTGGACACATGCCACCTCTCTTTATCGGCAACCCAGTGACTATGCTGTCCTTTTTACCTATTGACTTCTTCAGTCCGACACATTAGACTGACCACCTTTTTGGAGTGCAACCTCCATCTCAGCGCTCCACCATATTAGTGCCGGAGCAAGCACAAGAGTAGGAGCGAGAGCAAGTGGTTACCGGTTACAAGTACCCAGCTACTAGTTACTGGTTACTGGCTACTCCGAGTGGTCAACACTTACTCTATGGGGCAATAGTTATCAATGGCAACCTTTTCAAAGTGCCACCACCATCTCGGTGCTCCACCATACCACTCCATTTTTCATCATTTCCATACTTACCACCCTTGGATAACGCATCCCCTCTTCTACCTCTTTTTCTTTCTCGATTTTGGCCAATCCTTGGAGCATACCGAAAGTCATCAAGAGGTTGCATTTGCATATTACACTTTCCTGAGCCGAAATCCAGGCACTGGTTAAGTTTTTTGGGTGCTCACTCTTTTTCCTCTATTTTCCTCCTCTTTTCACACTTTTTCTACACTTTTCTTCAACTTCAAGGTCCAGTTTGACTACAGGGTTTCCCACTGGGTTTTCCTCCCTGTCTCCAAACTTCATACCTACCTCTTTTCTTTCTTTTCCACTTTGTTTTCTAGAGTTTCTACTATTTCACGTAGTTACCAGCACTTGGCCTCAGTAGCCGCGGTCCACTCTACACTGTTCGGAGGGTTCTCGCGCATCTAGAGCTAGTGTGATCCACTGTGGTTGCATGTTAGGGCGTGGCCACCGAGAGTGTGAGAGAGAGAGAGGGAATATTCTGGTCCTTTGAATATTCCACATCTTCCTTGTATAAAACCCTTGCCCCACAAGGGCAAAGGGGGGGGGCATTTTGCGAAGAGCAGTGAAGCATTTCTTGTGTTTGAGCGAGCGTTGGAGGAAGCGCCCCTCCTTCCCCCAATACTAGTGGCCAATTTTGGGTCATAGGATTCATTGGAAGGAATCCAAATGGCAAAGTTAGCCAAGGAACACTAATGTGTTGGATGCTAACGGGTTGTGGGAAAGGAAGTGTGCTTCCAAGGATGGATTCGCAAGTGCTCCAATTTGGCAAAAGTGAAAGCTCCAAGTGAGGGAGCAGCAAAGTAGCTAAATGATAGGGCCGTGTACAGCCTTAACACAAATTATGATTATTGGAACATAGTGTCAAAGGTGGCATAAAATAGGAAAGAGGATAATGGTGCCTTTGAATAGAGAACTTTCTAGGATGGGGAAGTGGAGTTGCACAAAATGTGCAAAACAAGGTGTCAGAGACACCCAGGAAATGGACTCTAAGAAGTCAAAATTAAAAGTTCCAAAGGGCAAAGGTTATATCAATGGGATTTGAGACTACTCAAGAATGAGTAGTAGAATTGAGATAGAGAAAGTGTCTCTAACAAGTTTAGCAAGAACTAAACCAAGGAATTGAGATAGAGAAAGTGTCTCTAACAGATTTAACAAGAACTAAACCAATAAAGGGAGAGAACCACCACAAATGCTCGAATGAGTCTCTAAGTTGGAGAGCTTATGCTCTTTAAAGGATGGACAAGGCTTGGTGAGCCTTCTGTGTCAAACCAAAGACAAATATTGGCTAGGTGCCAAGGATGGAAAAAGTAATATATACTAGTATTACTTTATAAAGTAGTTTATCGTTCGATGAGGACATTGAACTTCGTCTATGGGTGGTGGAGTTGTGAGACATAAATCCCTAAGCCCCGAAGTGGAGCCGAAAGGGCACCATATAGTGGTGGCTAAAGCAAAAGCCAAACGAGCATAACAAGTTTGGACTAAAAGCTTTGACTTGAAAGGTTGAGAGCAGGACTAGAACTCCCAATGAAGGGCTCGAGGAACAAGCACGAAGTGAGCAATAACTGAGTCTCTGAAAAAGGGACACAAGAGGACCAACACATGACACGTAGAAGTGTACGAAATGAGTCCGAGATGGAGTTCGAAATGGACTCGAGATGGACCCAAGATGGAGTCCGAGATAGACCCGAAATGGAGTCCAAGATGGACCCGAGATGGAGTCCAAGATGGAGTCTGAGATGGACCCGAGATGGAGTCTGAGATGGAGTTTGAGATGGAATCTGAGATGGAGTCCGAGATGGACCCGAGATGGAGTCCAAGATGGACCCAAGATAGAGACCTGAGACCGAGACCGAGACCAAGTCTGAGTCCGAGGTTGAGTCCGAGGCCAAGACCGAGACCGAGTCCGAGTCCAAGACCAAGACCGAGTCTGAGTCTGAGGCTGAGACCAAGTCCAAGTCCAAATACTAATACAGGCTGTTGGGTGAAAGCCTAAAGCGATCGTCCCCTGGGGAGGGGGGGCTGCAGGGGGTTCCAAAAGTATAGTAGGGAGAGTGTGGGGGTTGGAGCCTAGTGGAGCTAGTTTGGCCAGGAAAAGCCAGTTTGGCCTAGAAAGGCTGTACCCAGGTGTTGGGTGATGAATTGACCACTGGGAAGGCCAAGACTAAAGTGAAAATGGACCGACAAGCGGGGTAGCTTGGTGAAGTGTTCAAGAACCAACTTTAGTTCCCCTGGGACATCGAATGGTTAATGCTCCTAGTCCAAGTGTGGGTGGCACTATCTACTTGGATACCTGGCATGGCTCAACGGAATCTCGCTCTAAGCCCATGGCTAGAGCATCCAATGGCGGAAGGCGGGAAGAGTACCTGCGAGGCTCGTGTAGGGCCACGGTGTTCCGAAATGCTGTCCCAAGTCCCAAACTGTAGAAAGGAAGAAAAGTAGTCCTTTGGTGTATTGACCAAGGATACGGTCGTGTAGAAAGGAAGTCCCAGAAGAGGTGGGACTTAATGGTCAGGCCTATAGTGTAAAGAACCAACTCGCCGAGGTGTCGTAGGCTAAAGGAACCCCGAAAGCATGACCAAAATGACAAAGAGTTTCATCGGATGGGACCAAGTCAAGGATCGAGTCCAAGACCGACTCTAGGACCGAGTTCGAGATAGAGTCCGGAATCGAGTCCGAGACCGACTCGGGGACTGAGTTCGAGTCCGAGTTTGAGACCGAGTTCGAGACAGAGTCCGAGATCCGAAATCGGGTCCGGGACCGAGTCCGAGGTCGAGTCCGAGGTCGGGTCCGAGATCGGGTCCGAGATCGAGTCCGAGATCGAGTCCGAGACCGAATCTGAAGTCGGATCCGAAATCGGGTTCGAGATCGAGCTAGAGACTAAGTCCAAATACTAATACGGGTCAAGGGGTGAAAGCCCAAAGCGTGCGTCTCCCAGGGGGGGGGGGGGGGCTGCAGGGGGTTCCAAAAGTATAGTAGGGATAGTGAGGTCCAGGAACCAGTTTAGAAGGGACTCTCCAGTGGGGCTCCTAAACTGACTTGAGGTTGGGACTGGGACCGAGGGGCCTTGGGTGGGAGTGAGCATGGACTTGGTTGGTGCCGGAGGGGCCATCCAAGGAAGTGCTCAAGAGCAGCTCCCACTCCCAAAAGGGAAACCGATTGTGGTGCTCCCGGCTCATGTGGAGTGGTGCCCCACTTGAGTACCATGCGGCTCATTGGTCCTCGCCCTTCCTAGGGGCTTCGGCCTTCATGGGTAAAGGTACCCATACCGGGCCGCTAGGCCACGGTGTTTCACCCCAGCGTCCCGAAGCAAGTGTTGCACTCAAGACTTGGGATTTAGAGGGTCCCATGATCAAGTCTTGTGGTACCAAGGGAAGTTAGGAACCTGGAAGCTTGGTGTGCTTGGCTGCTTGTGCTTGCGGGGAGTGTAGCCGAACCTTAAGTCCAGTTTAACCCGGGGAGGGGGACTGGGAGAGATTGGGAATCCGTGGATGGTGGCTAACGCTCCGTTGCTCGTGCAGTGAGTAGCTGAAAGCAAGTAGGACCAAGTAGGAGCTGGTACCATAGGCGAGAACCTTGGCGAGGGAACTTAGCAAAAGCCAAGGTAGTGTCGGATGGATAGACGAGGTGAGCTAGCAAATTGGAAAGGAAAAATTTGTGGCTT